CAGTTGCCCAAGCGAATAGCGCCATAGATCTGGCGTAAAATGGTTCTCTCGAAAGCACCCAAAGCTTTCTCATCTTTGCTCATCATTTATACTTTCAAAACCCGTTTTTAGTTTATTTTCTTTAATCGTACGGGAGTGTACCGCACCGTACCGTACGTCACCGTCAAAGAATGCGACTAGTGCAGATCTTAAACGTAGTGAATAATTACAAAAGAGTTGTTTTCAGATACATGCGTATGTTTGTTGAACGGGGTGGCAAGGTGTGGCGTGATTTTGGAGGGACAAGTAATTCAGTGGCATCGCGATATTCTCTATCGACAACAATTATGCAATTTTCCTGAACCCATCCCGTCATTCTATCTGTATCTCTATCGTATTATCGTTATTCCTAGAGAAGGAGCGCTATTGAATCGGCAAGCCTATATCCCTTTGGAGCGACAAGTACAACGGGTTTTACCAAATTTCGACCTTTATGACAATGAGATTGTCGGAGGGGTCTAAAATGGTTTGAAATAACACAAACAGCGATAACGCAAATTTGTGTTATTTGCCAATTGAATGTGAAATAACACAAATTTGCTATATTTCATTCCTCGTTGAGTAATAAGACCAACTTTTAAACTTAACATTTTGAGTAATAAAGCAAAATAGTGCACATATCGCACACCGTCTTCAAAAGAGTCACAACTCAAAATTTGGCATTTTTGAAATTATGCGCTAAAAATGTACCCAGAGCTTTTATTTACCTTTCAGCAAGAGCTGGAACAAATTATTTTTATAATTTGTTTAAAAAACCAATGGGCCCTTGCCTATATGATTTGCATGTGCTACGAAATAGTTTTTCGCATTTGTTGACGAACGTATTATTTTGAGTTGTGACTCTTTTGAAGACGGTGTGCGATATGTAGGTAGTCACCCAGTTACATTCGACAAAAAGTAGTACATGAACAAGTTAAATGGACGGATTTGTAAGTAGACAATTTTGAAAGTGCCCAGCGTCGCGGCGGTCCGCGTTTGCGCTAGCGCGCCACCCTGCGCCGCGCCCCCGGCCCCCTCCCCTACTTTCGCAATTATGCTCTGCTGGTATTATAACCGTTTAGAAAATAGAATAATAATAAAATGATGCTAGTTCACTTCTGAAACTGCTTTTTAATGTCCAAGTAATAGGAATTATTGCGTATGGTGTTATTGCATGCACCCCACCCATGGTGGAATTATACCAGGTGAAGTAATATTAGAGTGAGAAGAAATATTTTGACACTGCCTTATTTGAAAACATGCCTATAAAATGTGACTATAAGACAGTCGAATGTCAAAATAAAGCGGGAAAGCTATTTATTACTTCACTTGTTTATTGCGACATTCTTACCACCTGGGTGTACCTAGTATACGTTCAAATTTAGAGTCTGAGAGTAGGTAAAATTTTACATATTTTTGCGTGAACGAAATCCACATTTTGGATATGGTGAAACAAGTGATGATAATGCAGAAATTTTAACTGAAGATAAATTTCAAAACAATATTCTCTGTGTTATATGCTGCGAACAGGAACGGAAACTTTTGTTTGTTCCATGTCATGGCGGAATTATCCCAGGTTATGTACACGGTTAAAAATTTCGGTTTTAATTTTAAACTTTTTGGACTACATATATGACCAAACTAAATTCAGTTTCAAATACAAACCTTCGAAGACTAAAAAAAGAGAGCACATATGTTAGGTTTAGAATTTAAACAGTTCGATTTAAATTTTAAACCCAAACATTTTCATAATTAAGAATAAAAAATAAAAATGTCTGATGGGGATTGAACCCGGACAGTCTTGGTAGCAACCAACTGTATCAAGCATCTTTGCACACTCAGCTACAGCCAAGCATGTAAATGTGCTTTCATATGTTGAGTTTGAATCAACACCACATTTCGCTGTGTGCAAACATTTTCTATTTCGGTTTAGATTTTAAACCCAATTTTCTATATATGAAACCTAAAATCTAGAATTAAAGCATTTTGGCTTGATTTTTAAACCACGAACTTTTTGGACTTTAAAAGATTAAAACAGGCAGTAGTCCCAGCGCGGTTTAAAAATTAAACCCAAATTTTTGACCGTGTAATTAGAGCGAGAAAAAAGATTTTGACACTGCCTTATTTGAAAAATTGCCTTTAAAATTTGACTATAAGGGAGCCGAATGACAGAAAATAAAGCGAGAAAGCTGTTTTATAACTTCACCTGTTTATTGCGCCATGGTTGTATGCAAACATTTTAAGGTTTTCCAGCAAGTTTTCCAACAAATTTAAAAAAGCATGCAGATAAAATTCATCGCAAAAGCGCTATGTTCAATTTGCTGAGCAGTTATCAAAGATGACTCTTTTCCTATATTTTGTTAGACTTTTCATAAGTAAAAATACGTTGTGAATATTATGGATTATGTCACATTTTTAGTTTAATTGTGTTTTTGGAATAAACAAAGTTCTTTTTCCTGCTGTCAGTAAACTGTTTTTGTTACAAATAGTATAAATAAGCAATGGGAAATAAAGCAAAATTTGTTTTATTTCCAACTTCTGTTGGAAATAAAGCAAAACTCAGATTTTGGTATTATTTCCCATTTAAAAGTGAAATAAAGCAAATTTTGCTTTATTGCCGTTTGTGTTAAATGTATACATAAATGCTCAGAATGAAAAGAGAAGTGGATTAAGCCATGTCTGTCTGTCCGCCCGTGTACACGACAACTCGAGTAAAAATTGCAGATATCTCAACGAAATTCGGTACGTAGGTTTCCCTTTATCCAAGGGAAATTTTTGGAACCTGGGCGTGACCACGCTCACTTATGACGAAATGCTGTATCTCAGTATCCGCTTCACAAATCCGTACCAAACTCGGTACGAGCCTTACCTAGGGCCTAGCTAATAAATCTGTTGAAAATATTTGAAAGCGGGCAATAACCACGCCCACCTCCCATATAACAGTTATTTACAGAAACACGAAAACTGCGACAAATCAGTAACTACTAAAGCTAATAGACTCAAAATCGATAATTACAATAACCACATTAGCAGGAAATTAGATTATTATAAACTTTTGGATAATGGGCGTGGCGCCGCCCCATTATAATCATGGATGAATTTTTAAACTAAGAAAGACTGACATATATGTATATATATAGGTTCCTTACGTTTTTATATATGCATAATTTGTTAACCCTCTAGTAGGCTGAACCGCCTCCAGACGGTCGTTAACTAAACACGTATTTAGTGCACCTATAATAATTTTTTTCTATATTCGAAAAGCACGATCTTTAGAAAAAAAGCGTACCTTTTCGACGATTTTAATTTTATCCGTTTTATTTATTTTTAATCCGTTTTATTTTAATCGGCAGTTGAATCACAGATTGTGAAAGACTCGGTTAAAATTAATTATTTCTTGCTATTAAGTAATTTCTTAATTAAAGAAATTTTTTCCTTAGAAACATTTTTTGACACAAAAAAATTCAGTGGGTTTCGTAGTTAAAAGCACAATATTTTGATATAAGTTTTATAATTATGTCACCATTCGAAATGGAGAAAATTGCTTTCGAACACAGACCGTCTACTGACCGGCTTGCCGACATATAAAAATCCATTGTGTAAGAGAAAGCTGAAAATACGTCCAAAGTATATCGGTGAGCCCGTCTCCAGACGGTCTTTGTTTTTCTCCCCTGTAGGAAAAAGTTACTGTCACAGATCGAAATGGACATCATTTTTGGATTTCTCGTGCCATTCTCTCTCACCCATTCCTGAATTTTTCAACTCATACAAAATTTGGCCTAATAGAGCGTTAAATGGCCCATGAAGTCGATTGACCGTGTATGTTCTTGTGGTGTGATTGTACCAGCTGCTGGTGTGACTTCAAAAACTATTTATGATTGTAGGAGCATGCTGGTGTCGTGAGTGGTGAAATTAGCTCATGTTTCTAAGTAGAAAGTATTTCAGCGGAAATTTCTTGCATATTATGAGTCAAAGCTGTGTTTGTGGAAGATTAAAAAAATTAAAACAAAAAAAAAAAAACAATGTTTAGCAAAATGGTAGAAAAATTATGAAATTTCGGCTCTAATCATTTCGATCTTTCCCGGACCTCATTCGCAAAGAAATAAATATTGTACCAGCATGCTAGTAAGTTATATGCTTCGAGCCTGATGGTACAATCACTTGATGGAGCCAGCAAGCTGGTGTCGTATATTTTCCCTTTTATACAAAAAGGTTTTGGTGCGGGCAAAATCTAGTACCTACACCCTAAAAAATCTGTTTAAAAATGCGACTATAAATTGAGTATATTTTTGTTTATTTTTACAATTTTTTGGTAAATTTACACGATGAATATGTATTTTTATCGTTTATACATTTTCGTGTGTAAAAATCATTTTTGTTAGCGGCTTTACACAATTTTACGGGTGAAATCAAAGAGCAGATGTGTATTTTGTAGCTTGTACACACTTTCGAAGTTAATTTATGCACACCACAGCAGCTATATTACACTCTAAAATGTCCGAAATTTAAATAAACTAGTCGTTGTATAATCGAGCACGTAATTTCGCGAATAATAAGGTAGGAAATCAGTAACCTACCTTTAAGGTAGGAAATCTACACAATTTTTTTTTAGAGTGTACATATTTACATACATAGTACCTTAATTCACAAAGGCCCTAACCAACAAATTTACAGGAGAAGCAAAAAACATTATGAAAAGAGTATCAAAAACAGGTAGGGCTTTTTAAAGTGGCATGTAACTGTTTTTTTTTTTGGTACTAACAATTTAAAATTTTTACTGAAGATGTATTTAAATACGTCCTACCAAAATACGCAGTTTTGAAAAAAATGTTGGTTAGTGAATTAAGGTGACTAACTATATAGACATTAATGAACGGAATTTTTTTAATAGGGGAATTCACATTATTCATATGCATACTCGATTAAATATATACATACTTAAAATATTATTCTTATCATTATCTGAAATTTTCTCTTTTAAGGTCTTAAGCTGGAAAAACGGATTGAGGAAGCTGCACCCGCGGGCCAACAGCTACAAGAGCTGGGAATGAGACTGCGCTGTGATGATACTGGCTCAGAAAATGTAAATAACAATGAGTATAGCAGGTTGAAAATATATATGTATATTAACACTTATTGCACCGTATTAATATTTCAAGGATGACATGCTAGAAGAGGATCGTCTTATGTTAGATAGATCACCAGATGAGTTGGGTTCCAACGGAAATGACGATGATTTGGGTGACTCGGATTCAGATGACGATTTAATGAGAGAAACAACAGATGGCGAAAGAATCATATATCCATGGATGAAGAAAATACATGTGGCTGGAGTCGGTAAGCGCTCAATGATTTCTTATTTTAAAACGTAATAATTCTGAAATCATGAACAATATCAAAGAACTAAAATTTCCATTCATAATATTTAGAATACTCGCTCTTAATTGTCATTGAAAACTTTTCTCATTAATCCATTGGCAAAACGTACGTAGTATGTACCACATACCTATCTATGTATATTAGAGTGGTTAAATTTTTTTTATTTGAAAATTCATAAACGCTACCTAAAATTATTGTTATTTGTGGTAAAAAAGACACTTTTTTTTATTTCGAAAAAAAAATTTAGAGGACGCGCTGGTCGATTCTTTATAAAAACGCTGATGTTCTCAATTTTTTTATTTTCGTGGAATGTTAAATTGAATTTTGAAAATCTGACATATGTAGCTTCGTAATTAGCAACCCCAGAAGCCCACTGGTAACAAGTTCCAACCCATGACAATGCGTAAGTCGTTCAGTATCAACGTTTTAATTTTAGTAGTCTCTTTCCGAAAGCACATTTTCGGGCTTTAAGCCCATTCTATTTGTCTAAGACAGGTATGTAATTAAGGGAATGTTCCCCAATAATACCAGAGTAATTACATGTAAAAACCACATTTTAAGATGCATTTTAACATGTCACGAAAATAAAAAAAATTGAGAACATCAGCGTTTTTATAAAAAACCCCTAAAAAACTTTTTTTTTCAAAATAAAAAAATACGTGTCTCGTTTTTTATAGCAAATAACAATATTTCGATGTAGCGTTTATGAATTTTCAAAAAAAGTGTTTTTTTGAACCACTCTAATGAATATACATTTATACATACACATATATGCATGTATGTATAAAAATGCACATCCTCATACATATATGCATATACATATGTACGTATACCGAAAATAGATCGCGTGCAGAGAAAAAACTTCAAGTAGCCATATAAATCCATATAGTACATACTCATGTACATATGTATGTAGGCCTTGCATTACCACGTATACAAATCTTTCATCACTCTAAATTCAGAATCAATATCTTCAGCACTTCCTTAAGTTTTCAAGTTATAATTAACTTTTTTTGCACTTGAGGCTACCAATACAAATCAATCACGCATTTAAACCAACAAATAAGAATTATTTTATTATGACATGGCTAACAATTTCTCAATTTTAAACATGGAACATAGGTCCCATGGGAAGAAAATAATTATGTTGGTATGTATGTACCCAGTAGAAATCAGTTGTATGCATTCGTGAAGAATGCTTGCTATATGAGTGAATAGTGTGAACAATTCATGCGTAGTCATGAATTTCCACGAATAAATTCAAATTCCAGCGAATTGCAAGCGAATGAACGTTGTCGTTGTGTTAAGTACAGGGTTGCCACTGACGAAAATAAATATTTACCATCCACTTGAAAAAAATCTACCAAATCTGGGAAATATCTACCAATAACTTTTTTATAAAATTTAAACTAGTTTTTTTATTTTTTTTTTAGTTATTTCAATAAGAATTAAAATTGTTTTTAAGAACTTTTTATTTAACTAGTTATATGGTATTTGCGTCATATTATTGGCATATTCTCAGCTTCCTTCAACTAAAAGCGGGAGTGAAGAAACTAAAGGCAACAATGAAACTTCATTATTTGAAAAACATCAACTCGAGTTATTATAGACAAATACTGTGACTCAAAAAAGTGATTTTTTTATACCCGAGCGCACTTGTGCATAAGGGTATATTAATTTTGTTCACATAACGGTTGTTTGTAACAGCCAAAACGAATCGAGATAGATATAAACAAATGTATACATAAATGATCAGGATGAAAAAAGAAATCGATTAAGCCATGTCTGTCTGTCCGTCCGTCTGTCCGTCTATCCGTCCGTCCGTGTACACGATAACTCGAGCAAAAATTGAGATATCTCAACGAAATTTGGTATGTAGGTTTCCCTTAATAAGGTAGGTTGGTATTGAAAATGGACGAAATCGGACTGTAACCACGCCCACTTCCCATATAAGGATAATTTCCAGAAATACGAAAACTGCGATATTTTAGTAACTACTGAAGATAATTAACTCAAAATTGATATTGTGGAAAATGGGCGTAGCCACGCCCACTTATGGTT